TGAGAGCTTTTCCAAAAATGGAAAGAGATGTTTGATTCAGTACATGATCAATATCTCAGCGAATTGAAAATATAGAAGGTTCTTATTTTATATTATAACTTGTCAATATTGGTAATTTGAGTTCCTAATTCATACAAAACTATAGACTTAGCATTTTGACATCACAAACATCTAATTTGAACCAGTGCTTCATTTAACACACTAGGTGACACATAAAAATCGATGTATAGGTGTGTTTTTAATATTTAATTTTAAAATTAAGAAATTAACTAATGTAAAATATTAAAATTTGAATTATAAGCTACAGTTTGATACCAAACTTACTAACATAAATTTATAAAATAGTAGTTCAGTAAAATTTTCAATGGTAGTCAAAAAACACGATGACATGGCCCATGAGGAAAGTGTTAAGTAAGAAATCTAATTTTTTGTGTACAAAAGTCTTGTAATGATTATTGAAACTTTACCAAATTTTGTGAAGATAATGCACTGTACTAAAAGTTGTTGTATGGAAACTGTGACGAGTAAAAAATGATATAAAAACTGAACCCACGTGGAAAGAATTAACAAATAAAACTCAAAATATTCTGCTAATCATGTGTACAGTATTAGAGACACTCTGCTCAAAATTACATTGTAGAACTAAATGCAACTGACTAAAAATTACTACTTAGAACTAAAGGGTTAACTGTGTTATACAAGTAATGTAAAGTTCAAAATTTTCACTTAAGTCTTTTATAAAATGAAAAAATGTTTTATTGTGTTATGTACTTTCTATGTACATATAGTACAGTAAGGCACGCTTCTTTAACTCAAGGATATGATACCACAGAAACACACCTGGTTTCCTCTTTGTAAGAATTTTTCTTTTATTGGATTTAAATTTAAGGTAAAGGACATCTAGGAAAAGGTAAGGATTATGTGGTATTTTGCAAAATACCATGTATTTCCCCTTTTTTTTAAATCAGAAAGATGAATATTTACTTGTTTACAAAATTTTAAAGAATTTCTTACATTTGTACATATTTCAACACATTTTATGTACAGCACAAAATAATGAACTGTGTCTTCTTTACTCAAACTAGTTAAACACTGTCAAGTTATTCCTGTTTGGTCCTTCTAGAATCATTCTGTGTTCGATGTTACTGGGAAATTCCTTTATACTTGACCTAATAGGTCTTTTATCCATACTAGTCTTGTAAAGATGTATTGATATGGAAGAATCTGTCTTCCTCTTTAACCCCATCATGATGGGCATCCTTTACTGCACGTCATGAGGTTTTAGTGATTTACATTCAAAATTTTATTACTCTACTTTTTGGTTATGTTATACCATTTAGTATAGCATAAAATTTTAGCTAATAATCCATATTTTAATAGTATATATGTTTTCAGTTCTTATTTTTATAAGGCAATATTTTCAAAATCCTGAATTTCCTAGTATGATACACGACACATTTTCTCTTTGCATCTCCTCTTCTCTATTTTATCCACCACCCCTCCAATAGGTATGAAATTCAACACAAATTACTCACTACAAAATCGTCATTGCTCAGACAAACCATAATTTTTATAGCCTTCAATTTTATTTGGTTACAGAACCATCAAATAGAAAATCAGACCCTCTTGCCACATCCACCTGTCACATCCTCTCTTTTAGGATTTGTTAATAGTTCTCTCTTACATTTAATTCT